GAATGCTGAAATGGGCAGCCTACTATGTCAATTTTGAAGCAAGGATCTGGTCTCATACCTAAAACTGTCTAGTCAGTACCAGTTCCTTCCACTTCAACAGAGGTTCCTTTCATTTCAGCAGCACTTTTTCTGTGATAGGATTCTAGGTCAAGCATTTAGAGCAGCAGGCCACATTTCCGAGATTATTTTTATTTCAATGCTCTCTTAAGAATTATTAGTTAAAGAGTTAGTATCTTGCTAGTGGGCAACATCCAAAGGTTTCTCAGTAGACTCCACCAGGATGTATGTGACCCAGACTGAACCATGTAACAGTAACACTGATCTGAACAGTCAGCTAAAAGTAGTGGATTTGGGGCTAGAAATTAACACAAATTTGTGACAGAGCCTTGAAACAGGGCTTTTGCCTAGATCTACACAACCAAATTTTAAAGAAATAGAAAATTAAATTAGTAGTGGACAAATCTGAGCAGCTATAAAAACTGTTTAAGCCACTCTTGACAGCTGACAAGCTGCTGACAGCTACTGGCTTAACTCACGGTGGTTAGCACTGAAAGCTTGCAGAATTCTCTCTATTTATCCTCAGGATGGGCAGTGAACAACTTCATTGCTTTTTTCACTGGCTTGCAATCATTTTAGACATTATTTTGTGCCAGGACGTACAATCAAGACTACAGTATCAGCAGATAGGATAATCACCTAATGACTACAATTTTGATCTTATTTTGTTAAGTGGGCAGGAAATGTATACTGCACTTCCTTAACTGCAGATGTTTCTTTTGCAGACAAATAGGGGCAAACTATTGGGGAAAAATACCAACAACTTGGTACATAAATAATTCAAAGTAGCTAACACTCACTGTCCTCTTGACTCCTGCAATTACACCTGGAGTCCTATATAAAAAATACCCAGGAAGTATACCTAAATCTTTAAGAGCAGCACTCTAGAACCAACACAATGGCTGCAATCAAGAGATTGCTATCTAACTGCTGTTTCAGGAAAATGACTTGGTCAGCGTGGTGCCTATGAAAATCCTATGAAAACCAGATTAAATCGCTTTTACCTGGGTGAGAAGTCCTTCCATATAAGCAGTCTTTCCACTCGTGCAAGAGTGAGATTAGGCTAGGCCCTTAAGACCAGACTAGACTGTAGCTCTGCCTTAAACAAAAGGCAGGACGATTTTGTTTCCCAAAGAAAATCATCTATGTATAAAATAAGTCCTCTGTTTTGTAATTCCTCTTTATTGGAGCCACTGACTACTGGCATCCATCAGCCACAACCTACCACTCCATGCTCTCTGTTAGCTCACCAATTCTGGCCAGCCAGTGAAGGTATCGAGGTTCTGCTTCCTCAGGGAAGGAACTGGAGAGCTGCACGTATTGGTTACTTGCACGCACATACACATTTAAGCATAAAGAAATGCTGCATAAACCCAGTTTGGTTCAGAAGCTTTTACCTTTCTGTGCTCTACAGAAGTCACAGTGATGATGTTGACCCACAGTAAAAACGAACAACACTTTGTAAAGCAAAACTGGCAGTGCAGTCTAAATATGAGCTATTTCAGAGAAAACATATGAAAAGCAGTTAAAAGTAATGCATGATGTTACAAGGCATGAGGAGCATTAATCAGTATTAATATCAAACTATCCCTGATCATCCATAGCAAAAATGTTCATTAAATGTAGAAGATATACTTCATATACATATATATCCCCTATAAATAACCCAACAGCTCTTTAGTTGAATTTCTAAGAGGGCTGTGACAGTGCACCAAATAGCTCATATGAACTAAAACCTTGCGGCTTTTGCTATGATACCATACCATGTGAGCCTGGAATTCCAAAATGGCCATGTACCACAGTAAGACAAAGCACATCCAATTTTTGTTAAACTTTTCATCAGACAGCAATGAATCTTTATTGAATGAATCTTCTGAAGATGAAGATGCTGTGCTATGCAGCTGGCACTTATCTTTGATGCAACTTACATTTTCTTTTTCCATAGGGAAAAATCTTAAACCTTCCCATTTCCACCACAGGAAGATTACTTTGAAGACCCACAAATTTAACTTAATTATAGGACAAATTTGATCAATTGTTCAAAATTAGAGAGTAATTTTTCTCCAGCAAAATGATCAAAAGCCTTTACGGTTGGTATAGTTTTTATAGACACCACCTGGTATTTCTCATCAGTGAAAGACACCGACAGTTCCCACTCACAGCCTCAGGACTTTTCTTCATAGCAATAAGCAAGAACGCCTGCACCTGGCCTTTGCATTAGTGGCTATTTTATACATTCCAAACCTTTTAAAATCAGCTTTCCTGGAACATTTAACCTCCTCAGGGAGATAAAGGAGACCAATTCTATACTCTGAAAAAAAATATGAAGTAATAGAATGGTTGGTTTTCTTCCTCAGAACACGTTTTCTTTGTTTGTAGATGTAACTAATTTTAACCTGACAAACCTTTCCGTAAAGAACAACAAGCCTTCCCTGACACTCCCACCAAGGCTGCTAAACCTGCTGTAAAAACAAAAAAAAGATGCATTTGACTAATTAGATCACATAAAAAGCACGTTTGTTTGCATGCAAACAAGTTCTTATAATTTTAGTTTTGAACAAGTCCCTGGGAGCTTCGTGTCATGTGCTAAACATCCAGATCAAACAACAGTGAGTGGGTAGCAGAATGCTACAACATATAATATTGAAGGGAGGGGGAGGCGCCTGTTGGGGATGTATTCACAAAGGTTAACATTAGCCCCTGCAGGCTAACATCTCAAGGCTTTCTACAGATTCAGCAAAGAGAGAAAGGCTCCTCCAGAGGGCAATTCAGAACTGAAGATTCATTTAGCTACTCTGAATCTCTCTCCGGAGGAATCTCACTTTCCATTAAATTCAGAAACAGCCTGCAGAGATTAGCCTCAAAAAGATCATGCTAGCCTTTGTGCATACTCCCCTGTATCTACCTTCCATCAGTAGGAACAGTGACTGAAATTCACCACTGAGAGGTATAGTTAGGTGTACTGTATTTAAATATGAACAAAATGTATCACACATGAACTGAATTTTACTCAGCTGGAGCTTGGTGCTCCTGCCTGTACTGCTGAAATGCCGTCTCTGCAGTGCGAGTAGGAAAACTGCAGGACTTAGGTTTTTTCACTGCCCCATTAAAGTGTTCTGTTTGATGAGTACTTGCATGCTGCCATACAAAGGAGTGCTGTGCCCCCGATATCTTTGGAATGCACTAACTGCTATTCTGCAGTCATACCAGCAGTTCCTCCTCTCGCTCTGACTGCACAGTGTACGATAGGAACAGCAACGGGAAGTGCGTCTTCACTATCAACCTAAAGATGAATTTAAACAAAATAATAAAAATTAAACTCTCAAGATCTGCTACCCACAATTTTTCAGTCATTATGTAGTAGCAATGAGAGTGGAAAATGGTCTTCTAATCTTAAACATGGAAAAGTTGGATTTTGTGGCTTGGTGTTGTGGTTTAACCTGGCAGGCAGCTAACCCTAAATCCAAAACACAACACCACATCAGCCTCTTCAAGGAAAATTTTCTCTACCCAAGCCAAAACCATGACAAAGAAATATGAGGAGGAATTTCACAGTACTGACAAATCAGTTGTGAGGGCCATTTCCCAGGGGGTGTTTAAGGAAAGGTTGGATATGATGCTTAGACATGGTTTAGTGGGTGATATTGGTGGTAGTGTGATGGTTGGACCAGATGATCTTGGAGGTCTTTACCGACCTTAATGACTCTGTGATTCTTAACTCTTCTATACTACATTAGATCATTGTGTCTCTTTCCCTGAAAAATACCCATGATTTCATAAAGTTTGGTCAAGTTTGAGAAAATCAAGTCTTCTAGAATATTTTGTAAACCACAAGAGTAACGATAACTCTCTGGGAGTTTTGGTGAGACTTTCCACATTAATGCTCAAGGATTCTGCCAAAAATTTTCACAGAATATCTTTGTAACATAAACCAGCTGTACTTTTACAAATGTAAAATAGAGGAAAAAATACCCTCTAAATTGCCTTCATGCCTTCAGCAAAGAAACAACAAAGTGAAACAGAGACAAATGACAGAAGTCTCTCATTTAACATCAGTCAAGTTACAATCAGAGCCCAAGACTATACTCCAGGCAGTGCTGATTTCTGAAGTACATCTTGAAGTAAGGTTTGACCAAACAGTGCAAGTCTGGGAGTACAGCATTATTTTCAAAATCTTCTGAAGATTCCCTAGGCCTATGAAGTCTGGTTCTAAACTTTTATTTTGCTATACAACTGTGTCAATTATGATTTAGACACAAAATGAACTTGCAAACATCAAATCAACTTGCAAATGCCTACTAAGTACACTCTACTGCTAATACCAAGCAAATTGACCAAACTAAAAAATTACATTCAGGTTTTAGAGACCATATTGAGACAAAGGTGTCATGAACGCAGAAACTATTACAAAGATAATTTATTGTTCCAAATGGACAGATCATTTGCATGTTATACAAACTGCTTGCAACACCATATGGCAAACAAATACTTTATGCTATCTGTGCTATTACCCAAGTAACAGCATAACAAATGCTAGACATCATCTGAGATATTTTTACCTAGCCTTCTTTACAAGAACATGAATGCACCTTAGCTTCAAATTGCATTTGAAAAGGTCATGATGGCTTTTTGAAAACTGTATTGCACCTTGAGACCAGGAAAGAAAGCTTTGATTTTTGTTACATTCTACTGTAAGGTGTCTTTCAGGTATTCAGTCAACAGACTGGCAGAGAAAAATTACAAGCTATTAACTTAGCTCATTCTAATTATATTGTTGCATTAGATAATTGAAACTATGCACTCTGCCCTTAAAATCAGTGTTCTGTAGAATTCTGCATAAGAATATGTTGGCTTCAAATGAATCTCAGATTATGTTGATTAAGATGTCAAAGGGCAGCCATTTGTAATTATCATCAAAATCTAAAGAAAATAAGAAAGGAATATTTGCATTTTTTTCATATTGTTGTTTATTAAAATAAAGGAAAATCCATAAATTTACAATTCATCTTAGAGTTGAATATGTTTACAGTCAAATACCACTTTCAGAAGAGTTTTTCCTCTATACACTTAATTCATACCCTCTCATAAGGGCATTTTGTACTTCTACACTATTTGAAACATAATCTGAACGTCCTTCTGCACATCAAAGATGTATTTCAGACAATCCTCATTTAATCCAGTGCTACATTGCCCATTGTTCAACTTTCTGTAAACTCAGTTAAGACACATATAATGTAACAGGGTATGATTTGGCCAAATAGATCAAATCACAAAGTAGTATTAATAGCTCAAGAAAAGCAGCAACTTCTCTAATTAAAATCCATGACTGATAGTTTACCTCAGGCAATTTATAAACAAGAAGTTACCCAAACACAAACATTTCAATGCATTCTACAACTTCCTTTGTAATACACAGAAGCAAAACAAGACTTTTGCAAAGAACCAATATTTACTGAAAAAGGAATGACTTATTTGACCAGAACATTCATAAATTATGCTGCAGTCCTTCCCAGATGATGGCACTTTATTTGAGATTATGTCTCACAAATTCTCTGAAACTGAATTTAACTTCACAAAACATCAAATAAAGTTTTAACATTTCAATACCTCTGTTTTCTCTTTTATCTAAAGTATATTCAGCAATTAAATCTTACAATTGCTTTGGAACATATGGCATTTATTTATTTATTTCAGTAATAATCCACTGAGATCTCCCTTCTATTTGAGCTAAACACTTGGACCATGGGAAAACTGTTCCAAATGTGGAATTTTAAGAAAAAAAAACTTTCTAGCACTCAGTAGGAACAATTTTTCTGTACCTAATATCGTAAAGTCTCCCTTTCATACAGCAGGTCCAACAGTATATAAAATACTTTAAATATCTACTGATCGTGGCTAAGTGTTTGCCCTTGCAGTTTCAGTAACACCATTACAGAGGTCCATCTTTCTTTCAAGAACGTAATATGGAATCAGCCCATTAAGTATACTAGTGAAGAAAGAATCAGTGCATGATTTCATGTATTTTAACAAGGAAATGAAGTCTTATTTTTGTGTCAGAAAAGATCAAATCCTGGGAAGTCATTTTTGATATCTTTAGGGAAGGCCAATTGATGAGTTGCACTGTGAAGTTCCAAAATAAATAGACCTTTGCTGCACAGCAACGTCACTTATTCAAAAAGTTTCCAGTAGACATTAAGAACTTCCAACTCGATCTCTGGGAATAATCCGTAGATCTGAACCATGCTTTAGAAATACATTTCCTAAACAAACAAACAAAAAAGAACATGTCACCAAACAAATGAAATGTTACCTAAACAAGCATGCCCTTTTAAAGGAGAATAATATAATTACAGTGCTTAACAAACATCTTTGCAGTAATTTCTCTCACACCAGAAAAATGTATTTTTTTATTTTTCCACAGAATTCTGTCTTATCCCTCCCACGCCACCCCTGTCCAAACAACATGTACTTTGAAGTAAAAACACCAGACTCAAAGTCATATAATAGAACTTGCAAGTTACAGCCTTTCAAACTTTGCATTTCCATACCTGCATGTCTGATTTCACTTATATGCCAGAATATTTTAAAGGCCAGGAAGTCAAGTTCTAATTTATTAAAACTATTTTATCTTGAGGTCACTCATCCATGTTTTCATTCATGTTCTCTCCTTGGTTCGGTACTTAACGAAAACTTCAGAATCCTGACTACATTTTTGTTTTGGGAAGGCTCTCTACATATCCAAACATAAGTCAGTCTCAGTGTAGCATCAAAAATTCTTCAACTTATTATTTATTACTGTATAGTCCTGATCATAACAGATTTTTAGGAGAACAAAATATGAGAGTTTTTAATACTTGGATGGCTATTCAGGATTGTCACTACTGCTTTACTCTATTAAACGCAACATTTGCGAATGAAATCACATTGCTAAACATGATGCATTCTATAATTACTATTTGGACTTACACTTTTTTTAAACTTCATTGTGCTACTGCATGAAGGAGACTGTACACAATACAATAAAAGGTATCAATAATATATATCTATTCCTATTCATCTTCATGCTGACTTGTAAAAACACAATAATTACATTTATTTCTCAAGCACATTATTTCATGGATGTAGAGTGTGCTCATAAAAAATATTAATATATTTAGCATTTGTTCATTAGTAGCATGTTGGAACAAAGCTTCTCTTTCTTGGACTTCACTCTTCTGGCACATGGATAAGGATTTAAATTGTTCTACCTATTCAACGTAACGAGTACCAGAAAACCCATTCAAAAGAACGTGTTATTGGAAGATATTCTATTTTTAGATAATATGCTGAGGCAACATGCAGAAGAGATGAATAATCATCACTGAATCATAGGATATCCTGAGTTGGAAGGGACCCACAATGATCACCGAGTCCAATCCTGCTTCCTCACAGCACAACCCAAAAATGAGACCATGCGTCTGAGAGCATTGTCCTAACACTTCTTGAACTCTGGCAGGCTCAGTGCTGTGACCACTGCCCTGGGGAGCCTGTCCCAGTGCCCGAGCACCCTCTGGGTGCAGAACCTTTCCCTAACCCCCAGCCTGACCCTCCCCTGTCCCAGCTCCATGCCGTTCCCTCGGGTCCTGTCGCTGTCCCCAGAGAGCAGAGCTCAGCGCCTGCCCCTCCGCTCCCTTCCTGAGGGAGCTGCAGGCCGCCATGAGGCCTCCCCTCAGCCTGCTCTGCTCAGGGCTGAGCAAACCCAGGGACCTCAGCCACTTGTAATACATCATGCCCTTCAGACCCTTCACCACCTTCATAGCCATCCTCTGGGCACTCTCTGATACCTCTATGCCCCCCTTACACTGTGTCACCCAGAACTGCACACAGTGCTGGAGGTGAGGCCGCACAGCACAGAACAGGACAATCCCTTCCCTTGCCTGGCTGGCAGTGCTGGGCCTGATGCACCCCAGGGTACGGTTGCCCTCCTGGCTGCCAGGGCACGCTGCTGGCTCATGTTCAGCTTGCTGGGACCAGAACTCCCAGATCCCCTTCTACAGGGCTGTTTTCCAGCCTCACACCCCCCAGTCTGTATGTATAGCTAGGGTTGCCCCATCCCAGGCACACAGTCTGACACTTGCTCTTGTTAAACTTCATGCAGTGGGCCATTGCCCAGCCCTCTGATTTGTCAACACCTCTCTGCAAGGCCCCTCTATACTCAAGCGAGTCAACAGCTACTCCTAGATTAGTATAGGAATACACACTAGGTAAGTTCGCAGACAGCCCTGCATACAGTTCATTTACAGAACCACTGAAGAGAACTGGCCCTGAAACGGAGCCCAGAACCCCACCAGTGACTGGCTGCCAGCCTGTTGTAACCCCATTTACTGCAACCCTTTGGACCTGACCTGTCAGCCAATTGCTCACCCACTGTATTATGTACTTGTCTAGTTGCAGGCTGGACATTTTGTTAGAAAGATACAGTGAGAAACAGTATCACAAACTTGCTGAAATTGAAAAAACTTACTTCTGGCTTCTGTTGGTCAGCTAGATGGATGACCTTGTCATAAAAGGCAATTAAGCTCATTAAAGAGGACTTTCCCCTCATGAACCCGTGTTGGCTGAGACCAATGACTGCATTCTCTTTCAGTGTTTCAAGTGTTTTTCAAAACTGCTCTAAACACAAATCTCTCACACCAGCAAAACAGATAACTAAGCTTATCAATCTTGATGAAAAGAATTCATGTTGCGATCACAATCATAATCCGAAGTTTTAAAACAGGACACAGCTGCATCTCATGCAGACAGCAGTTCACCCCACCTCTTAGTCTGCTTCCATCATTAATATTACACTGGGTTTATTAAAGTTATGGCATACTATTCCCCGAACTATCAAGGATTTCAAATTGAAATCAATACAGGAATTAAGTGTTAAGCCTAGCTTTTTCAACTTTCATTTCCCCTGCTCCATGGAATCACACAGGGAGAATGAAAGTTATACCTGAGGACTGCTTTTGATTAGAAAGGTTGGGAAACAGTGGAAAAGGACAAAACCTCTGAAATCCCCAAGGATTACTAAGATTTTATTCCTAGATCATCTTGTTTTGGGAAGTTTTTGAAGACTAAAGTAACTGTTCAATCTACAGGAACTCAATATGAAAAAAAAAAATTAAGTTCTAACCTACTTATTATTTTCTGAAGTGTCAATTACTAAGGCTGAACACAAGGTTATATTTAAGTTATCTATGTTTACTTGTAAACTTTGGATAGGATTTTGTTCCTTGATTTAGTGGTCTTCTCCCCCATGCTCCTTTCTTTCAGTTTGAAGCAACACCACACAGCATTGTGATGGTGAGTGGTACCTTCTTTGTTTAAAATATATACATATATATACACATACAATATCCTTCAGCCTAATCTTATATTTGCACATAAGATAAAGACCAGGATGAAAACATTTTGCATCTAGATGCTTTTCATTTACTTGAAACTGAACTTTGAAATGCTGTTTTATATTACCACTGAGTAATTTGTGAACATTTATAAGAACTTAGCAAACTTTGCAAAGCAATTAGCAAAGCTATTAGAGTTGTGAATTAAATGTGCATAGCTGCAAGCATGATAAATGCCCATATGGACGTTTTCATTCAGGAGTAAAGTAGTCCCAAACTGATTTACTTTGAAGGATTAACCTACAACTATTTTGGGATACATAATACAAAATTAAAATATACTTGTTAGAAGAGCAACACCGTAAGTATACGTTAACTTAAACAACTGACTTTACTGTTTTGCATAAATGCTCTTTAGTCGTCATGTGAAAATGTGCTTGTACATGTGGGTAATGATCTAGTAGCTAAACTGTATTGTCAGCCTTATCATCTGTTTTTAAGATACTTTTAAGGTCATATGATCATAATGAGGACAGCAGCAGCTGAAGAGTCTGCCTGAGGCATTACATCTGTCAAAGCATAATGCGGGTGTCTTAAGGCAAGCCCTGGGAGGACAGAAACCTCCTGTGGTGCTGACTTGATGCTCTCTTGATTTTCATTTTCAGAAGTTGTCGATGCAATTGTAGACCTCAGAAGTGGGTCGCTATGCTTAAGTGGTTCCTTTTACAACTCCAGTAAATTCCCCAAATTAATACCAAGCAATTGCTCTTCTATCACATACTACATGCTCTGCAAGGTTTTACTTTATACTGTTTATCTTAGATTGCTAAGTATACTAATAATACCTCACTTTCTCATTCTCTTTAGATCTGAGAGAAAAAAAAAAAAAGCATGGTATCTTCATTAACACATGACAGACGGAGGGCATAAATGAACAAAATCTGGCAAAGACTTCATGCAAGAAACAGAAGCAGCAATGAACTCTCCATCAACTGCGCATCACATTTGCAAGCAGGAGTCAAATCAGATTCACAGTTTCCTCTGGATGACTGTGTTCAAGAAGCACCAAAGGCATTTTTATTATTTTTAGTAGAAAGTTATGACCCTAGCAAGATATCCCACTCCAGTGAACTCTCATCTCAAATGGGTCTAGATTAGGTTATTGTAATACTTTCCAAATTAATTTAGAAATGTAACTTCCAAGTACAAATCCACAGAAGCCAGCTTCTGGACAGCAGGCTATTATTAGTCCAAATCAAGATCTGTACTATCTCTCCATGTATTTCGGGAGGTGATGGGGAAGAATTCTATACCCCTATTCTATGCCCCTGTGACAGAGGCAAACTCTTAACTCACAGCAAGCCTCCGCAGTTGAAATCAGAGACTTCTCACTTGGAATCACTTGGTGAGAACAAGAGGGCTATCTGCAAAACAATTCTATCTTCTTGAAGATGTGCTTTCCAAAGTACATGCAGTTCCTGCTGTAAAACTGAGTATTACTTTCTAAACATAACTTACCAGAATGGCTACTGAAATAGCAAATACTAGACTAGGTATAGGGTGGGGAAAAATACAACTATTACATGATATTTTAGTAACAAGTAAAACAACATTGCTCTTTTAGACTGCACTAAATAGCTAGGTCTTAAAGATCAGCAGTGCCTTATGCTTTCACAAACTAAATAACAACATGAACAATAGTTACGTGGATGTAACCTTTTCCTCACAACACTGACTGTAGTTTCCAACTACTGATAATTCTTTTCCTATTTAAGAAATCAAAACCTAAGATATAAAAATCAACCCAGATTGCTATGCATTAATTTAACAGAAAATTAACTTTTTTTTTTTTTTTTAAGACTAGATGACTTAAATAGTAACTTACCTGCTGTCTGTGCAGGGTTAATTCCTATTCCATCTAGAAAAAAATGTTAAAACAGAAAAAGACAAAAACAGAGAGGAAGGTGAAAATAGAAATAACACAGTTTATTACACTAAACTTTCAGCTCAAAAATGTAATATAGCAAGCAATATATATTTAGCACATCAGTACTTCAAGCAGCTATTTCTTATAATCAAAAAAGTCTTATCACAGGAATTAACAAGAAATCTTCAGCATAGGCAATCAAAACTACGTGTTAGGACAAAACCACTTCAATGAATAATATTAGTGGTTTATTACCTTCACCCATGCATAAGTAATAACAATAATGCTGCAATATTAAGTTCAGTTTGCAGTCTACAGTTTATGAAAGAAAAGATGTTTCTGCTTTTATCAATACCCTGTAACTGAAACTATGATATAAAAACTATATACTTACCATTTGTTATAATGGCACTTGTTGCTGCAGGAACTTTGAACTGAAAGAAATTAGAGTAGGACAAAATAATCTAAGAGACATATTTAATCCAGAAAATATATGGGAATATTCAAAGCAATTATCATTTTGGTTGGTTCAGTTACGAAAGAATTATGAGAAAAGATTCCCCTCACATTTATGGATACAGCAAAATAAAGGTTTACAATTTAAGTCAATTAGACACCTCAGTACAGAATAAGTAATTTGCAATATCAAAGTGAAATCCAATTATCATTACTCACTAGATAAAATTTAAAAGTTAAGGAGTATTAGTTATGATTATACCATTTAATATTATCTCCATGCACCTAAAACATGCATGGAAATAAACTTCTAAGAAGCATAGTTATTACATCATCTCAGATGCTCAGCAAGCAATACTTTTCTTTTAAAAAAGTGACAAAGAATATACATGTTCAAATTTTCTGGAATAAAAATTGACAACATCAAGTCTTGAACCCAAAACATGTTTATATATTCATCTATATTCATCGGAATACTGACTTCATACTGGTGTGCTTGTCATTTACAGGACTCAAATAAGAGCTAGTGTAAAGATATTATATACTATGGGGAGGGGGAAGGTTGCATCCGATATGCACATACAATTTGCTTTGGGAGAGTATCTTTTATCACACAAATAAATCAATAAATTCTGAGTGCTTGGTAGCACCATCATGAAGATCATGATGAATGATCACGTGAACCTCTTGTTTACTTGACAGAGAACGATTGGGAAACCAAAATTAGCTTTAGCTCATCTTGCTTCATTTTAACCTACTTCCTAGCTTTCTCCCTGGCTCATATTGGTCCTCTCTGACCGCACTGCTCCAAGAATTTACTCCAGGATACACTTACAAAAGGATGCACTAGGAGCACTGCATCAGATCTGGCTCCCTCAGATTTCTGACATCAGCCCCAGCAGGCTTTGTACCCGCAGTCACGTCCCCACGATACCCACCCCTATACGCATCACATGCAGTCAGTCTCACAATTTGAAAATCCCTGCACAGATGAGGCTGCAATATACACAGACTGGGAATTATTTCAGAAGATCTAAACTTCTGGAGAAGCCCAAACTAATTATTTCTTAGGACCTATTTCTGTGACTACATGGAGTCAGATAAGGCCCAGATAAACATCCTTGCACTGCTTAATGTGGTTGGACCACACAGGATGGAGGGGTAGGCAGCGTGAGTGCAAGCCAATCAGTACTACTTGGCTGTTCTGAGGACCAAGGGCTACCTTTGTACTGAGCTCAATTAACAACCCCGTAGGTAAAAAAAAAATCAGTCAAACCTCCTCAGAGAGCACTTTTCTTATGCAAGAAAAAGGAAAGCTAATTACGAATCCTAGCTAACACTGAATGCTTTCCTCTAAGAATTACAAACTCCCATATGCTAAACAAGTCAATTCAGCCAGGCCTTTAAATGGCATTCACTAATTACACTTTCCTTATTTTCTAATTGTTCAACTCAGAATTACGAGGTCTGATTTGCAGAAACTCCATGCACTAACAGCAACAGCTAGAGCTCATGGAAACCATGCTTGAATACAGCACGTAATTATTAATATATTGAAAAAATGTCTCTTTTTTAATCTCCAGCCACACCAAATTAGCCTTTTTATTTTTAACTTAGTATCTCTTAGCTTTGTATCCATAGGAGGTAAATCCTGTCACCTATGCATCTTGCAAGGTAGCATGAAAACTGTAATTTTTGCAAAAAACAAATTAGGTACCAGGGTCACTGTAGAAACGCCATAGGGAGCGGAAGAATTTCTCTTCAAAGAAAGGTTTGAAAAGTGAGTTGATAAACTGGGAGCTACGTATTTCATAGTAAGAATGTAAAAGAACAATATGCCATTTCATAATAGCTAATGCATTGTTGTGGTTGAACACTGACAGCAGCTTAGCACTATGCAGCCACTCTCTCACTCCCCCCTCCTTGGCAGGATGAAGTGGGAGTAAATGAGATGGGGAAAAAAAACATTTGCAGGTTTGAGATAGGAGTAATTTAATGTAAGAAAAGCAAAGGCTACACAAAAGCAAAAGGAAAAAAAATTATTCTCTGCTTCCCATCCGCAAGAAATGTTCAGCCACTTCTTGGGAAGCTGGATCTCAGTACATGCAGTGATTGTTAGCTTTCATAACGGGAGCTCCTTCCTCCTTCAAGTTTTATTTCTGAATGTAACATCGTATGGTATGGAATATTCCTTTAGGGAGTTTGGGTCAGCTGTCCCTGCAATAACCCCCTTCCCACCTCCCGCCCGCTGGCTTTTGGGGTCAGGGGATGGGAAGGTTGGTGAGACAGCCTTGATGCAGCAATAGACCAAACACTGTCGCGATATCAGAGCTGTTCCAGCTAAAGGTGCAGAGCACAGGGCTACATGGGCTGCTGTGGGGTAAGTCAACTCCATCCCGGCCTGACCAAGAACATGCATACCTATCATATGATGAAGAAGGATAAAGCCTTCATTCTCAACCTTACCAACTTTGGGAATCTTGATTTAGCAGTCTAAGGAGCAGGCTTTGTTTTTTTGTTTGTTTTCTTTTTTTATGTAATAAGAGAAATTAATGTCCCACCTCCTGAAATGAGGCCACTTCCAACTCAAAAAATAAAGGAATAAAACAAAAAATAAAAAACAGCAAATGTATCCTTAGCTTAATACTTTGGTTATTTTTCAATGTTTCCATTTTAACTAAGTGATTTTGTAGATCTTTCCCCCTACATCATCTGAGAAAAAAAAAAAGGAAAAAGTAATTTCCAGTATCTTAAGCATTTTTTCTCATTTCTTTCCTGTCTCTTCTGTTACACGATGCGTGAAAGGGATGGATCGTTCACAGGAGGCTGGACATTTGCACTCATTTTCTGACATTTTGTTTTTCGGTATCAGAATCTATCTGATGCTTATACCCTAGGTGCACATGAGAACTGCGAGGCAGTCAGCCAGTGAATGACTAGTTAAGGTTCTCTTACTGCTTCATATTACATTGTGTTAGAGGAGAATGAAACACTTCACTTCCTTTATCGTAGCCTGAAATACTGGGCCAAACAGGAATAGTTGTCAGCTACATAGTCAGAACATAAAAATCATCACAACATAGAAAGGGAACTAAATTATACTAGAAGTCATTACACATAATTTGGTACAATATGGTTCAACACTACATTTTAATATTCTGTTGGAGCTTAAATCAAAAGTCCTTCCTGTGTCTGGTAAGAATGTTTCCCATGCTGAAAATGTAAGGCTTTCTATAACACAAAGTCAGATGGATACTCAAGTAACAAACAAATTCTGTGTTCGGCATATAATCCCCAGCTTTCTTTTAAACCCAAGTAGGAAACATCCAGCCCGAAACACACATGCTTCACAAAAACAGCTTCTTTGCCTCAAACACCTTATAAATTGATAACTGAGGCTGCCAAACTTTTTTTTTTTTTCAATGCAAGGAAATACATGTCAATAATTATGGTAAAATCTTAAAAAACAAAACAAAACAAAACACAATCATATATGAACAATTATATCCCTTCCTTATTTTTTAAAATGTCAAAAATCCTCTACAGCAATAACCTCATTCTCTTTGCACAATGAACAGCAGATGAGTGTGTCAAGACATCAGAGTAACAAAACAGTTTCAAAAAATATATGGTTATGAAAGAATAAAATTGAACTTTGCTTACTGGGAATGGATGACGATTTGACTAACAATTCCACAAAGGTAAGAGATGCTGTGTAAGTATTCTTTAAATGTATACCCAAAATATGTACTAAGTAGCTCTAACTACTAGTACTATTGATACCACAGGCTGTAAATGAGAACATAAGCACTGTCACAGTGAACTTTGACAACTGTGGAAAGAACTGCAGATATATAAAAGCTAAAGAGAACAGTGTTCCCAATACTCTGCATTTTTTAACAGCCCATCAGAGAAAAAAATAAGGAACAAGATAAATTTGCATCATCCAATCTACTGCAGTCAAATGTATGTATCGGGAAGGGCTGACTGCTGCAAACAATTAAGACCTCATTAGACCTTCCCATTTAATGATCCAGTTTTTTCATTTCCAGTTCTGCCAGTCTTTGTTACGTGATGTGCTAGAAATGACACACAAAAAATCTCCATTATGCATTTCAGTCATTTCCAAGGGGGAAGGAATACATCTTGCCTTGGGCAATTAAAGGAATTTGGGGGAAAAAAAAAAAAAAAAGTAACCTATGATTGAAACTTGGTAAATATGAGGAATATTCTACATCATGGCTACGGTAGGTTGCTCCAGAGGAATTCTGGTTGTCATCTGGCTGAACTGAGACACTGAAAAACATCTCAGCAGAAAACATGCCAAGACTGAACAGTCCAAACTTAAATCCTTTTCTGCCCTCAAAGCTTTGGTCATTCAGGAGATAATGTACTTCCCTTGGAGACTGACAACCATCTTCATTCAGAATCTGGGGCTACAGTTCGATCTTTTCTTTCTATGTTTAGTATAATGTGCTATGAAACTGGTATATGAATCACAACACACAGGATAATTTCAATTTAAATCTTTTCAATGCCAGGTTCATTAATGATGAAAGTAGACTCTTCTACCAGAATGAAGCTAATTTTCTTTTTTGTCTGTTTACAAAGCATTATGTTCTGCCCTGTCTCACAGAGATGTGAAAGGCTTCAGAAAGACATTGGAAATAACAACTAGAAGTTTCATATTCTGACAATCAAGCAGATGTTCATGTTATTAATTTCTATTTAACACCACCACAAGCTAATACAAAAAGTGCTTCACACTGTTTCCAGGGAGAAATAAAACATTCTTTGTATTTTCTTTTAAAAATATGTTTGTTACATAAGCATTTAATGGAATTACCCTTGTAAGCATTAACCATACTGGGCACTTTTACATTCCATCATGCATTATCTATCTTTCTTGTGTGCCTCCAAAAGTGTCTATAATTATTCTATAAAATGGTGCTGAACCACAGTGGTCTGAGGGAAACCAGCGAAACTCCCTCAAATTCCTCACATCAACTAAAAAAATGGTTTAGTAGTTAAATGGGGATGTTTAAGTAATTAGTTCTTTTCTAAATCCACCTTACAGAGGATGTTATAATCACACTATCACAGTTTCATCTAACATCCAGTTACGTGAGTTTACAGGTTTAAGGGCAACCCTCCCACCACATGTGGCACCTCTTTCCTGATGTCTTCAACTACTCTCAGTCCCACCCCAGTCTTCCTTGTTCCCTTATACTAGCATTTGTATTGGGCATCTATGGTGTGAATCCAGATTACATGTGTGAAGAGCAATCCAGCAACAAAAAAAATGGCTTAGCCTGATCTTTAAGATGACTCTGCCAGTTATTTGGCAGTACATTCAAGGGGTAAGGGAAGAGAAGGAAGCAGCAGCCAGGGTTGTTTTTGAAAGCTACATCACCTTATGCCAGCTTGAACTACCTGTAGACGTTGGTGGTTGAAGTGAGCCTTACACAGCCAGAAAATAAAGCTCACTAGCTGATAAAACAAAGAAATGTCAAAAAAGACCCTTCAGTTAATGATCCAGTTTGAACAACTCGGCATTCAATTCAATCAGACCTAAACCTGGCATTTCTGAGGTGACAGGAATTGTAACAAAGAACGGAAGGGGAACAGAACTGTCCCTTTTGGGAACAGCTTGCAGCTAGTGGAAACCCCACATCAGCGTACTGCTGGACTTTTCAGTCTAGGCCTCCATGTATGGGTTTCGTGGGCACTGCTGCATTTGTTCAAATAAAAACAAATTGGAAAAGAAACAAAAAAGACATTAAGTCACCAAGTGTATTTAAAGGTGTTTATTATTCTGTACATTACTACTAACGTAATGTCACACCAAATAAACAACCCACAACCCTTTTTATCCCCACATAAACTGTTTCTGCTAAGAACTTCTGTCACATAGCGGTACAACACTAGCATCAAGAGACTCAAGACACATTGTCCATTATCCTTCCTATTTTTTTATTAGAATTCCAATGCTTTGACAAGAAATATTTTAAGAATTCCAAGATTTCCTAGGCTTTCAGAAGTCATTGTGGGGACTCCAGGAACAGACTCTCAGCTATATCTTTTTGCTGACTTGACAAAAAAAAGCCATTGTGTTTTTGACAACTTCACTTTACCATTTACTTCCAAATGCACATCTCTTAATCTTTGCATGTTTAATCTAAACCAAACAGGATACACCTCAAATACTGCACATAGGCAATTTAGGCATGTATTTCTGGATTTTGGATTCCATGTGAAAGACCAAATACTCAAAAGCTAAGAATGCAAGTCTCACTTAAGCAAATTTTTTGAATCTAGCCTATGTGCCTAACCTCAAAGCCTTCTATAATCAGAAATTACAAGTCTTTTCACATTCAGTTCCAGTAAAGAGTTTTCTTTTTTAAAAAATTAAAAATATTCTGGTTACTTTACATAAGTAACTTAAAATACTAAACATGCAATAGCAATAACTTGTAATTCTGTTTGCTACCATAATTTTTTATAACTATTGATACAAAATTAATTTAAATGTGAAGACGACCAGGCAGTCTGTCTGTCCCTGCTACTGCCACACGAATTGTGTAAGAACTGCTGAATTAAGGATTCCAAAAGTTTTGACAGATCCACTGGCCATGACTAAAGCAGGTGTCCATTCATATCTAATGGCAGCATTTTCTGTGCCAAATTAAGCACTGTATTGCACAATTAAGAATTACTTTCAGGAACATTCAATAAATTAAAAAGGCTGTAACTTTCTACTTACTTCTTCTGCAGCAAACTTCAAGACAGCTGTGAAAGGTGTGCTTTCAGGCACACTTAACCTGAAATGACAATTTAAATATAGACTATGTGACTGTTAACACACACAGGAACACCTATTTCTACTTGTTATTAAACTACTGTGTACAGCGTCACTTTGATTAGAGGTAATACTCTTAACCCAGAATGCGCCCGTATGGTACACAGTCTAGATCAAAGCCTACAAGGCAAACACACATGCTCATCTGCCAGGACGATGAAATAAAATAAAACCAAAACACCACACAGCTCTGGCCCGTGTCTGCTCACGCTGCCACCGGCTTCCACGGCCTCCTGCGATACCACAACCCCCACGGCCCCGGCCCGGCACTCACACTTTGTAGGGCAGCCGCGGGTCCGAGGTGAGCGTCACTTTAAAGGTGACTTTCGACCTGGGGAGAAGGAAGAGAGCAGAAGAGGTTAGGGCTGCGGGGCTGGGGCTGTGAGGGGGCTGCCCCCCGCCGTGTCCCTCACTCACATCCTGCTCCCAGCGCCGCCGCCACGTCAGCCGCCTCTCGCCTCACGCTGGGGGCCTCCACGGCTCCTGCCTCCTCCCGATCCGCCCGCCGAGCGCCTGAGCGAACGAGAAGCATTAAAAATGCCCTCCTGGGGGAGAGAGAGAGAGTTTTCGGTCCTGACTCCCCACCCTGGCTGAAAGGGGAGGGGGTGAGGGAGAACGAGGTGAATCGGAGGAGAATGTTGAGGTTTTCTCGTGAGGCAGCAGCCGCGGCTGTTCCGCCGGGCAGGGAGGACCCAGGGCTGGGCGAGCCGCTGAGGGAAAATGGAGGGGGGGGGAGCAGCAAAGGTTCCTCAATGTTCTGGTCCTGTCACAGCCCCTGTCTGTCACACAGGCTGGACGTAGGCGTTGGAGTTGTGTTTCGACACCAAGGGATATGTTTATGGCAGAAAAACAGCGCTTTTCGCTTTTCTTTGTGGCATTTCACAGGCCAAGTTGAAAGCTGAGTGAGATTGTATCGAAGATGCAGTGGGGTTAGCAAACAGTAAGGGAAGGTAACGCTCGTCTTTAAGGCGAGTTCATCCGTTAACACAGGGGATGGCCGAGATTCCAGCGCTTGCTGTGTCAGTGCTACCATTGCAGAATACGTTTGGTCACACAGCTCTCATACTTTCATCTTTGCAGGAAGGAGCCTTCAGCGTGGACTGAGGCACTTGCCACAGAATCATCTAAGTTGGAAGATGCCTTTTAAAGACCTCCAGGGATGGTGACTCAAACTTTTCCCTGGACAGCTAATTCCAATGCCTAACAACCCTTTCGGTAAAGAAGTTCTGCCAAATATCCAACCTAAACCTCTCCTGGCACAAATTGAGCCCATTCCCCCTCGTCCTGTCACCGCAGTGGGAGAATAGACCAACCCCCACCCCACTACAACTTCCGGGTCATGGCAAAACTCTGCTGTGTTCAGTTTAATTGGGGGTCTCACTAGGATTAAAGTAGGAGAAAAGCAGTATAAATTAACATTGATTTCGATTGGATTGTGTAACCATCCATTTTGCGTAGCAAAAGGTCATCCCATATTGATTCTTGCCCTCTTCAAAATCAGGTAATTATTTTTGTATCATGTTGTGGTTTTGATTTATACACCTCTGTGTCATCTGCAGCTTCCATTAATGCACTGCTCTTTTCTGTTCCAAGGTCAGTAATGCAGATGTGAAACAAAGGACTGATCCTCTTAGAACTTTGTTTCTTGCCTTTTACTCTGAGGAAAAAAATACACACAAATCATGCTGTTGACTATTTTAGTACCCAAATGTACTTGGTTGAAGTTGTTTTGAGTACACGTGGAGCGTAACACTGTTGAGAACAATCTAAACTCAGGATGGGGTACTCCTGTGTTTTGGCCGCATGGGTTTCTCCTCTATCAGTCTAAGGAACCAACACTAGTCACCAGGTAGAGAGTTCAAGGAAGTCATTTGGCAAAAATAAATAAATAAATAAATAAATTTAGGTGGTTTCATTTGGTTTCTTCCTGAACAAAATTCTTCCAGCACAAAGAAGAGTGTGAGAAGGAATCTTGTGCAGGCATCAAGAGTGTGAGAGTAAAGTTATCTGGTAGTAAATTCAGAGACAGCATCTTTGAAAGTAGTTTCAGGAATCCAAATGCTTTCATAGAAATAATGCCTATTTGCCGCTGGAAATGAGTAATTTTACTGTGCTTTTTAGAAAGACAGCAGGGTCATTTTTCTGAGATTTTATAATGAATAAAGGAAGGAGAGTGCATATGATTTTCCTCCTTCATCTGGGAGAGTTGCTTGGACACTGTTCCTCAATTCAAGAAAAACTGATCCATTCCCAATGAAATCTCCCCTTCTTTCCCAATGAGTGAAAACAGAAGAAGATGGATTTTTTTTAAAATTTTTTTAATTCAATTTGTATTCCCTACAGCTCTTATTTAGCCACTGTTAAATATGTTGTGTGGTAGTAATGAGCTTTGGTTTATGTAGCTGTGAAGATTGCAAATAGAATGACAATTTGAGCAATTAAAACCTTTGGGGTCTTTGGGGTCAATTTGTAAATATCTCTCTACAACAGGAAAGACAGGAAAATATATATTAAAAAAAAATAAGCCCTCGGAAAATACTAAAATATATATCCTCTAAATGCTAAGATGTGACTTAGGTGAATTAAAATACCTTTGACAACACTTAATGGAAAACCTTCTAGTTATAAACAGCATTGCAGGAGAGATAAGTACTGCAATACAGAGGAGCTGTTTATATCCCATGCCTGTAAGTTGTAGATAGTCACCTGGCTGGACCTAGTTTAGTTGATTGAAAGTGCCAATAAACAGAACAATAGAAAAGGAAATGGAATTTTAAAAGTACAAAAAATTAGCTTACTAAGATGTATTGACCAGCATTTAACTTCCTGAGCAAGACGATCATTATTCTTGTATCACAGGGTAATACTGTTCTGGGAGGTACAACTATTTATTGAAAAAAGATGGAATATGTAAAATTGCAAGAGGGGTGGAGGAAAGTGGCACACCAGAAAGGAAGCACTAGCACTACATGACCTCCAGGTTGTTTCTGTTGCAGAAGCTGAAATCTGAGTTGGTGCACCTTTCTTTGCCAAAGTTTCTGTATTGTGGGGCTGTGAGCTGCTGCATTAGGATATGGTGACAGCTCAGTCTGAGCACATTGGATGCAGTTGTGTTGCCCTGTCTTTTTAACCCCAACTACAGATTCTGTTTCCTCATATATTTTTTTTATTTTAATTTTTGTTTTATATATGTATACATATATATGTAGATTTTATTATTTATTTATTTATTTATTTTTAAACAGAAATGGCAGCATAACATACAACAACTTGAGGCTGGGAATGATAAGGTTGAGTCCGTATGGGTTAGAATCAGAGGGAAGGCCAACAAGGCAAGCATCTTGGTGGGGGTCTGTTATAGATCGCCGAACCAGGAAGAGGAGACGGATGAGGAATTCTACAGACAGCTGGCAGAAGTTGCGAAATCATCAGCTCTTGTTCTTGTGGGGGACTTCAACTTCCCAGACATCCTGGAAATGCAATACAGCTCAGAGGAAGCTGTCTAGGAGGTTTCTGGAGAGCTTGGAAGATAGCTTCCTGATGCAGCTGGTTAGTGAGCCTACCAGGGGAGGTGCTCCGCTGGACCTTCTGCTCACAGAGAAGGACTGGTGGGAGATGTGGTGGTCGGGAGCTGTCTTGGGCAGAGTGACCACAAAATGGTAGAGTTCTCTATTCTTGGTGAAGTCAGGAGGGGGATCAATAAAACTTTTGTATTGGACTTCCAGAGGGTAGACTTTGAGCTGTTCAGGACACTGGTTGACAGAGTCCCTTGGGAGGTGGTTCTGAAGGACAGAGGAGTTGAGAAAGGCTGGGCACTCTTCAAGAAGGAAATCTTAATGGCACAGGAGTGGTCTGTCCCCACATGCCCAAAGATGAACCAGCACAGAAGACCAGCCTGGCTGAACAGAGAGTGGTGGCTTGAGCTTAGGAGAAAAAAGATGGTTTATAATCTTTGGAAAAGAGGGCTGGCCACTCAGGAGGACTATAAGGATGTTGTGAAGCTGTGCAGGGACAAAATTAGAAAGGCCAAAGCTCATCTGAAGCTCAGACTGGCTATTGCCATCAAAGATAACAAAAAATGTTTTTATAAATACATCACCACAAAAAGGAGGACTAAGGAGAATCTCCATCCTTTACTGGATGCAGGGGGAAACTTAGTTACAAGAGACAAGGAAAAGGCTGAGGTGCTTAATGCCTTCTTTGCCTCAGTCTTTAACTGCAAGAGCTGCTGTTCTCTGGATACCCAGTACCCTGAGCTGGTGGAAGGGGATGGGGAGCAGAATGTGGCCCTCATAATACACGAGGACATGGTTGGTGACCTGCTACAGCACTTGGATGTACGCAAGTCAATGGTGCTGGATGGGATCCACCCAAGGATACTGAGAGAACTGGCAGAGGAGCTGGCCAAGCCTCTTACCGTCATTCATCAGCAGTCTTGGCTATTGGGGGAGGTCCCAGTCGACCGGCGGCTAGCAAATGTGATGCCCATCTACAAGAAGGGCCGGAGGGCAGACCTGGGGAACTGTAGGCCTGTCAGTTTGACCTCAGTGCCAGGGAAGCCCATGGAGCAGATTATCTTGAGAGTCATCATGTGGCACTTACAGGGCAAGCAGGTGATCAGGCCCAGTCAGCATGGGTTTATGAAAGGCAGGTCCTGCTTGACGAACCTGATCTCCTTCTATGACAAAGTGATGCATTTGGTGGATGAGGGAAAGGCTGTGGATGTGGTCTACCTTGATTTCAGTAAGGTTTTTGACACCTTTCCCCACAACATTCTCCTCAAGACACTGGCTGCTCTTGGCTTGGACTGGCGCACGCTTAGTTGGGTTGGAAACTGGCTGGATAGCCGGGCCCAAAGAGTCGTGGTAAATGGAGTCAAATCCAGTTGGATGCCAGTCACTAGTGGCGTTCCCCAGGGCTCGGTGCTGGGGCCGGTCCTCTTTAATATCTTCATCGATGAACTGGACGAGGGCATTGAGTGCACCCTCAGTAAGTTTGCAGATGACACCAAGCAATGCGCATGTGTCGATCTGCTCGAGGGTAGGAAAGGCTCTGCAGGAGGATCTGGATAGGCTGCACTGATGGGCTGAGGTCAACTGCATGAAGTTCAACAAGGCCAAGTGCCGGGTCCTGCACCTGGGGCGCAATAACCCTAAGCAGAGCTACAGGCTGGGAGATGAGTGGTTGGAGAGCTACCAGGCAGAGAAGGACCTGGGAGTGATGGTGGACAGTCGGCTGAATATGAGCCAGCAGTGTGCTCAGGTGGCCAAGAAGGCCAACGGCATCCTGGCTTGTATAAGAAGCAGTGTGGTAAGCAGGTCTAGGGAAGTAATTGTCCCCCTGTACTCGGCTCTGGTGAGGCCACACCTTGAGTACTGTGTTCAGTTTTGGGCCCCTTGCTACAAGGACATCGAGGTGCTTGAGAGAGTCCGGAGAAGGGCAACGTAGCTGGTGAGGGGTCTAGAGAACAAGTCTTACAAAGAGTGTCTGAGGGAGCTGGGTTTGTTCAGCCTGGAGAAGAGGAGGCTCAGGGGCGGCCTTATTGCTC